CTTCGGCTCAGGTCATGATCCTGGAGTCCCGGGATCGAGTCCCGCATCGGGCTCCCTGCTCAGCAGGGAGTCTGCTTTGCCCTCTGACCCTCCCCTCTCTCATGTGCTCTCTCATTCTCTCTCTCTCAAATAAATAAATAAAATCTTTAAAAAAAAAAAATAATAAAATAAATAAATAAATAAATAAAATGGTACAGATACTCAAAGAGTTTGGGGCATTAATCCCAGAGAAATGAAAACCTAGGTCCACACGAACACTTATACACAAATGTTCATGACCACTTAATCTGCAATAGTCAAAAAACTGAAAACAACCCAATGTCCTTAGTGGGGGAGTGCTGCTCAATGGGAGAGTGCTGTGGTGCGTCCCCACCAGGGACCACTACCGAGCAACCTCGAGTAAAGCCCTCTCAGCACAACTACTCTATGCTCTCACGACGCTTACGCTGGGGGGAAGCAAATCGCAAAAGGTTACGTACATTACTCCACTTATATAATGCTTTCAAACTGATACAATTATAGAGATGGAGAACACATAGTGGTTGCCAGATGTTAGGGACAAGAGGGAGTGCCAGAGGGGATGGCAGGTAGACGGTGTGACTGTGACGGGGCAAGTGACGGTTCCAACAGTTCCGTATCCTAACTGTGGTAACAGTAATGTGAATCTACACATGGGATAAAATTGCACAGAACTACACACACACAGACACACACAGAAATGACGACAATCTAAATAAAGTTCTGTGGATTATACCAATGTCGATTTCCTGGTTCTGATTTGTATTATGTATTATCCTATATATTATCTAATGTTACACAGGTACCTTGCTGTCCTATTTTGGGAACTTCTTATGAATCTATAATTGTTTCAAAATAAAAAGCTAAAAAAACAAGACAAAAGCTCATCAGAATGGTAGATAATCCGACGGGAATGTGTCAAGCCTGCCAAGGCAGAGAATTGTGAATAAAACCTGGATGTATTTTAACTGTTCTGTATAATTCTTTTTATGGATCTGTAGGTCACTTCCGAAATCTTTATTTTAGGAGAGATGGGATTTTATGTAGCCACATAATCAGACACTCCTTAGAGAAAAAGTATCGCAAATCCAAATGGTTGCTGTTATCCTAATTTCTAAGTGAAATTATTTACCTATTACAAATTCCTTCCAACAGTTTCCCAAGCTAACTCTAACGAGGCCAGGAGAGCGCGTGCACCTTGGAGGTGGTCAGTGGGTCGTGGGCCCGGTGCTTCCCAGCCTCCTCCTGGGCCACCTGGCGGCCAACGGGGCAGGTGGGCCGGACGGTCTTTGCTGTGCCTCCCTGGCTGCTCCAGCCCCACCCCCACGGGAAGCCACAGTGGCTCAGGAATCTCTTACCTGTTGAGGTCCCAGATTCTCAGGGGTGAGAAGTGCCCACAACAAGCCGTCCCTGTCACAAAAGAGCTGCCAAACAAAAGGAGAGCAGAGTCAGGACGGGCTTGTCAGAACCTGTGGTGGGGACGGCGACAGAGCTCCAAGTGCAGTGCTCGCTCTCCGGGGATCACGGAGTGGAGCCAGGACAAGAGAAGGTTTGGCGGGGGGCGTGTCGGAGAAGCTGCAGGAAGACGACTGGAAGTGCGGGGAGGTCTACAACCCCCCAGGGACCCCCACAGGTGAAAGGACAGGGGAGCTCGCCGCTCAGAAAGGTCCTGTGGTCTCTGCCCGCCAGAACACCACATCTCTACATGTGCAACCCTCAGGCCAAGAGAGGGCAGGCCTGTCAGGCTGCAGAAAAGGCCCCCCGGGAACAGGCTGCTGGGGAGGGGAAGGAGAGGCCCTGGTCAGAGGTCAGGGTGGTGGGGGCACTGCTGAAGGCGGTAAGAGCTAGGTAACGGGCTGCAAGCCCAGGGCAGACGTAACGGCACCGAACCGCGCAGAGCGAACCATCCAAGGCCAGTAACTGCAGGTGTGCTGGTGCGCGAGGCCGGGAGGAGAGCGCGCGAAGGGCCGGGGCGAGGGGGCGGGGGCGCCGCTGCCGTGGAGTGGGGGGTGGCAGGCGGCGGAGTTCAGAGCACAGTGACACTACTTCCCCAGAGTAACTCTTAAACCCCTAAAAAGTTCAACACATGCCATGTGCAGCTCCATTTTTAGGTGGAGGCACAAGGCAGGTGGGCAAGCTCTGCGCCGTGAGCCAGGCTGGTGGAGTCCCAGGGCTGAACCTGGGACCTGGGTGCCAGACCACACCTTGGTGGAGGACTTGCTGGGTGGGGAGGGATGCTGGCGGGAACCCCAGCTGGAACTCCAGCTGGAACCCCTAACCCGGAGCAGGAGAGCTGAAAGCAGTTGTGTCACTCAGGAGCCCTGGGGCTGGATAAGGGCCTTGTCCCTACAGGTCGGGCGCTGGGGGGAGGGGGCTAGACAGACTAATGACCCGTTGGCCCATCCGCCCTGGCCCTGCCCGGCACCTGTGGCTCTCTGGTCCTAAGCAGGTCAGCGGGCAGACACAGTTCTGTAGCGAGGGCTCTGAAGAAGACAGAGGCTTTGGAGGAGGCGGTGGGGGGTGGGGTGGGGGAGGTGGCCTGCAGTTGCTGATGGGGGCAGGCACTGGCCAAGCCACTGATGGACAATCCAAATTGCACGGCAGGTGTCTGTTTTTCAACCCCGAGCTGATAAAAAAGGCCACATGAGCCATCCTGGGGCTTCCATGCCTCAAGCCAAGACTTCCTCCTGGGACATGCTCCATCATCCCGGCTTCCTCCCGACCCCCGGGAGTGCCAGCGACCACTCCACTGGAATGGCAGCCAAAGCAGCCACTCTGTCCTGCCCCGAGTGACTCCCAGCCACTGGACACGGAAGCCCCGAATTACAAAGCCAGGAGAGGTTGTCCTCACCTCCCTCCCCCTCCACATTTTTCTCTTGAGGGTAATCCATTAATAACTGGTAAAGCCAATTACCTTGGGATGGAAACATAATAGCCACTTGGAAAGCATTCGAGCGGGCAATTGGGCCCTTCAGACTTTCGAGGCGTGCAGGCCAGGTGAGGGGTGCAGGCCAGGTGAGGGGCGCCAGCGAGGATGCACAGACATTTCAGGGAGGCCTGCGGCAGGCCTCGGACCGGCCATAGTCTTAACTAGTGACGAGGTAAGTTGAGATGAGGGGAAGGGGAGGAAGCCCCTGAACCTGAATCTGCCACTCCCAACAGCTCCCAGAAGGCTGGGGTGGGGCCACAAGCGCCTTCTCCTGGGACCCCCGTCCCTCTCTATTCCTGCCCCCCACCCCCACCCCGGCCCCGTCCATCTGCCACCGGCAGGAGTGCCTCTCACCTTCACGCCACACAAAGGCCTGTCATGATCACCTGGACACAGCACCCAGAAACGTTGCTTTCCAAAAGCCGCCCTCTTCCCTTGCCTAACCCTGTGGTGCAGGGAGGAAGAGAACGAAGGAAAGTAGAGAGCCCCCCCCGACCCCCACCCGGCACACAGGGGGACCTGAGCGTGTAATCCAATTTAACACTCGGTACAAGCCCCGTAAGCAGCAGTCAAGCAGCCTGGGAGCCAGGTTCCGCTGGGGACACACACCGGGCCTCACGCCCAAACCATGGGGACCGCCAGGACTCATGGGGGTGAAGCTGGCTGCAGACACGGCCCTGCACACCTCCCACTATTCCTCCCTGCTTGCGGCCACGCTCGCTCCCTGCCTCACCCTCCACTTTCCATGGACTTCAGGAGGCATCAAGCAAAAGCCACAGACCAGCCACATCCAGGGTCGGGAGATGAGAAGGGTGTGCCCACGTGCAGTCTTGCCCAAGCGTAGGAGACATGTGGAGCCCAAGAGAAGATGGAACTCGCAGTCCTGGGACGCCCGAAGGATGCTTCCCACCACACGGTAAGTTCACCAGATAGAAGCTATGGTTCCCACCGTTCAAGAAGGGAAAACGAAGTGCCAGCCAGGCTCCCAGGGATTTTCATCAACTCCCTCTGCACACTTGCTCCCCTCCCCAGAGCCGCACTGGATAAGGTGCTCCCAACCTTAGGAGCCGGTGGGGTGGGATGTGCGCCTCGCAGGAGGCCTCCTGCCCCCATGAGCTCAGCCTCCACCAGGCCATCTCGCGGCCTCCACGGGCAGCAGTCCACCTTCGTCGGCCAGCAGATGGTCCACGCCCTCACCGTGCCCGGCCCTGCGCCCTGCGTGCCCGAAGTTCCCAACTAATGCTCGGAGGCACCCTAAACGGACACACGCACTACCCCTTCGATGGTGCCTCCCAAGAGACTACTCCGGGGGTCTGACCCGTTAAAAGGTCTTTGCTATCATCTCAACTTAGAGTCTGAAGTTACGGAAAAAGCCAGCTCTCCTCAGAACGATAAGAAGAGTCAAATGGCTTTTGCCCTCAGTCCCATCTTGTTCTTAGGGGTGTCCTAGGGACAGGGACGGCAAACCCATGCTGAAGCAGAAGCTGCTGGCTCCCCAGGGGACTTGACTAGCCTTCTTCCGAGTCCCTACCAGGCTTTATCTTACCCTCAGGGGATACATGGTATTTTGGGGGTTATCTCCCCATCTTCCCTTTGAGATCATGGACCATCTGGTGGCTCCTGTGTCCTCTGGTGCCTGGCACAGGGCCTGGCCTAGAAGAGGTACTTGATCCAAGTCTGTGGAATTGGACCGAAAGGGCCCTGTGGAGCTCACAGCCGACAAGGCCGGGGAAGCTAGACCTAGGAGCTGTGAAGAGGTCCCTCTGCTTCCTAAATAACTCCCACATCACCAGACTCAGACCTGAAGGACACATGCCACAGTCCCACATCGTTGGGGAAGTGAAATCCCTCATAAGCACCACAACCAGATTATAGATGAGAAGTACCAACAGTACCTACACATTAATGTCCAAACACACACATTCTTGTACAAGCACACACACTCTCTCAGCTTGAGGGTCTAAAAGTCATTCTGATTCTGGGGTGCCTGGGTGGCTCAGTCGGTTAAGCATCCGCCTTTGGCTCAGGTCATGATCTCAGGGTCCTGGGATCGAGCCCCGCTCAGTGGGGAGTCTGTTTCTCCTCTGCCTCTCCCCACTTATGCTCTCAATCTCTCTCTTGCTCTCTCAAATAAATAAAATCTTTTAAAAAATAAATAAATAAAAGTCATTCTGATTCTATAAACTCTACTCTCTTCAGATGAGAAAGCCCCTATCGGAAGCTAGGCTCCTCCCATGTCCCATCTTGCCCCAGACCTTGTCCAGATTCCCGACCTACCTTCCTGGCCCCCTGGTCCCAGCTCAAGCAAATCTGGCATCACAGAGATCATCCTCAGGCCCAAGAAGATGATGCAGGAGCCCCCACATCACAGAGGGACCCCAGGAGCATCAGGGGTTCTGGTACTCAAATTGAGGAATGGAAAACAACAAGAACCAGAAGAGAGGAGGAGGGAAGAAGGGAAATTACTCAGGCATGAGCAGGCCGGGAAGAAGGTAGGCTCCTTTAGGGCCTCTTTTTTTTTTTTTTAAAGATTTGATTTCTTTGACAGAGAGAGCGAGCACAAGCAGGGGCAGGGGGAGCGGCTGGCAGAGGGAGAAGCAGGCTCCCCGTTGAGCAGGGAGCCCGACGTGGGGCTTGATCCCAGGACCCCGGGATCATGATTTGAGCCGAAGGCAGTCGCTTAACCCACTGAGCTGCCCAGGCGCCCCTCCTTTAGGGCCTCTTAATGACACTCGTCATTTGCTGAGCACTTGCTATGTGCTAGCTTCTGAGGAAGGGTTTCAAAAACCTCATCCCATCCAATCCTCATAACCCGGTGCAGCAGATACCACTGGCCCTATTTTACAGGCCAGAAAACTGAGGCCCATGGCTCCCACAAGGAGCCACGAGCAGAGCCGGGATCTGAGCCAGGGCCTGGCCCGGTGCCTTCTCTCGCCGCACCTCGCATGATGCCAGACACCGCCTGAGACCTCGAGCACTTGTCGGATGAACAAACGGACAACTGAACCAACGGCTCCACCTGGAAGAAGAAAGGGGCGGCCGAGCGGCCCGGCGGCAGAGGGGCGTGCTTCGCAGCTGTGCCCTGTGGCTGGCCCGGAGCCACCCAGCCGGCCCGGGCCCCGGCCGCCTCTGAGCCGCGCCTGACACACTTTGGCAAGGGAGGCCACCAGAGCTGTCACATCAGTCACCAACATGCCCATCAAGTGTATTCAGTTCTCTTCAACCCGCATTGGCATTTTAATTACTGTTGGGTAAACTAATTTGTACAAATGAAGGCCGGGCTGCCTAATAGAATATGCAAGCTCTCTGACCTCTGACAGGCACTGACACGAGATACAAAGGCCGCCGAGGAAGGCTTTTTATCTGAGCCTTATTACTCTCTATTACTCCAATTAGTCAGGCTCCAGTGCTCCTAATTGGAGGAAAAATTGCAATTAAATCAATTTTTGATGGGCTGCAAGTGGGCTCCCGAACCGCCCTGCTTGTGAAACACTG